AATGGGACTACTCACAAACTGGTCCTACTGAAATCAATGGTACTTTTGTCATTGATTTCAGTAGAGCTAGGATTTCACATATAATGTATAAAGCAGAGTTTGTGTAGATGTTGCAGGGTCATACTTGAAGATTATACAGCGTTGTTGATTCTGACCATTCTTTTGGTAATGCCACTACAAATATTAAATAATTAATTAATTATCCAATGGTCTAAAGTAATGTGTTTCCATTGCACACAAGGTATTTACTAAATCAGAGTGTAACCATAAAGGTGTATTCCCATATACAGTGCAAATTTAAAGAAAACATGGCGTTTTAATGATAAAATTGTAGTCAGATATGTGAAATCTAGTACTTGTTTTCCGAAAGCATTTATTTCTGTAATTGAAACTTCTTATACAGCTAGTGATTATCTTCCCCTCTGTTTTCAAAAGCCCTCTACAAAGTATGCAAAATATTATTTCAGTGTATTCTTACCATTTTTATGAGAGTGCCTATGCTTCACCTTTTTAAAAAAAATTATGTTTGTAGAATGTTTAACTGTGGGAGTCGTAAAATATTGTAGTCTTAAAAGAGAAAAAATGTTCAAATATTTTATTTCTCATTTATGCCAGATCCTTACCACTAGATGGCATATTTTTATTATTTTACTCATGGATAAAACACAGTGAAGACAACAATTAGGAGAATGTGAGAACACAAGTGAAACAATGGAATTTCCCATTAATGTGTATTTATCAACATTTAACTGTTTACAAAACGGTTTTTCATTCATTAATATCTATATTTCCTGCCAGATTTGAATAATAAACATTAAAAATCATAAACTGCAGTTAAAGCCAACCTTCACCACTAACGCAGTTTTATTATTTCAGGTTCTTGGCAAACAGGAAGCAAAGTAAAACTTGTATTTGCTTAAGATCAAATTCTACTGCGATATGAACACATCTGTTAATTTCAGTGGGAGTCACGAGTTAATTTGAAGAAGAAAATTGTTCTTAATATCCAGTATATACATAAAAAGATATACATAGAGTTAGAAAACAAAATTTACAATTTAAAAACAAAAATTGGCTGGTAGAAAATTTCTTGGTCAGATCCAAAAATAATTGAACAATATAACCATAGTAAAGTTTCAAAATCAAAGCCTTCCTCTTATAGACCAAACAATAACTATGCAGGAAGAAGTAAGAGGCTAGAGAGGATTAAGAAAGCATGCTGTTTCATGTGTTCATTAATTTCTCTTATACTTTGCCCCTTCTAACATTTGACTTTGTAGCAGAGGCGTATTCTTGAAATTAAAATAGATGTCCCAAGAAGTGATTGTCTAAAATTTTCATAGGACATATTCTTTTATAGTCATGTAGGAATAATCTGGCAATGGATAGAGAGAATGCTTCTGGGACTATAAATCTTACAGCTTCTGTGAGCTATAAGTTTACTTAAAGAAACAACAGTTAATTAATTTACTCTAATGATAAAATTAAGATATTTGCACGGAGAGAACCAAATTCAGATTTAAATTATATCACTGTAAATCAGAGTTTACTGTAGTTATTTGCAATTAGTTTCTGGTAGATGAGTTTAGAATCTGGCCCCAAACTTAACAATTTGCATAAAGCCTTGCCAATTCAGATAATAAAAGCTTATCAACTGTCTTTTAACATTTGAAGTTTAAATTGATTTTTTTTAAACACAATTCACATGAATGGATAATGCCAACTGATACAAAAAGATGTACTGAAGACAATATAAGTTCCAGCTGCAAAAGGGAAACATCATGTACCAATATAACTATTTCTGAACTTAAAATCCTGTTCAGAGGAGTTGTTTAATATGGAGAGTTGTTCATACTTGTAAGAAGCCAGAAATAAAATAAATCCATACATGGCCCTACAGGGTTTTGTTCCTGCAGATGACAGCTCCCAATTTGAAAGTAGTTAACCCTCTTGACATTTTCTAAAAAGCCAGATAAAAGCAGAGACCAAGTAGAAAGATAGTTTCAAAGTGAAGTCAACATCTATAATGACAAATGTTACCAAGACCTCTGTCTGAGAGAGTTCAGTCAAAGTTAAGGGAATGGGAATTACTCACACAGATGGGAGAGAGAAAAACATTCCCTTAAATGAGAACAAGTTTAAAAGATGAGCTCATAGGAACTACTGCCAGGATACTACAGGTTTCAAACTGACTTAGTGATGTCAGCAATTGATATGAGATAGGAACAAATAATTGGTCTGAAAATCATCCTTGTTTAAAACCTGAAGCCATGGTAGGATTGTAGCCTTCCCTCTTTAAAAATACACGTGTTCTTGAAATTCTGACCAGTCACCTAACATTACTGTTAGCATTGAATGGATCTGAAAACATGTTTAATATGATTTAGACAATAATCTGCTATGTAACCTATAACTGGCATGAAACTTTGCAAACCAATGCTCTTTTAGGGTGCGTCTACACAACGGCGCTATTTCGGGATAACATTAGTTATCCCGAAATAGTGTTGTGTGTGTCTTAACAGCACATCCCTTATTTTGAAATAATGGGCATCTTATTCTGGCTTCCTGTAAGCCTCGTTGCATGAGGAATAAGGAAGACTCTGGAATAGTACTCTATTTCAAAATTTGGCGCTGTCTATACAGCCTATTTGGAAATTTAGTGCTCTCCCAAAATAAGCTACGCAATTTGCATAGCTCAAATTATGTAGCCTATTTTGAGCTATGTGCAACTGTGTAGACATATCCTTAGCGATTATGCACATGATATTTATCACCAAGAAAGTGGTTTGAAGTTTAAATAGTCATGTACATATTGTATGGTCATATTATACAAGTCAATGTGTTATTTGTTTTTTAGCCATAGTGAGGAATGGGACAAAAGGAAAAGAGTAAACAGCTAACCATCCAAGTGGCCATAAGAATTCAAGATATCTGCTTAGTATATTTTAAGATCTGAAAGAAAACCCTTAGACTAGAGATAGCACTTGGTTCATGATGATATGCTCTCTCACACTGAGCAACACTTAGATCAGTATCTTCATTTACAGCCATGAGACTACTCACATGAGCAAATTGTACTTAGCTTGAATAAAAGTGCTTGCCCTATATAATGGAGTAGAAAAACTGTGTTTAAGGACCAGATTGAAAATCAAAGTTCTACATGGAAATGCAGCTATGGAAGCTACTGTCCTTAACTCCACACACATATGCTGGAACACTTTTTGGTGTAACCTAACTCATTTTTCTGAGACTTTTCCCCATGCAAGGTACTGCTTTTTGCTGTATGAGGTGGAAATCCATCTGGAATGGCTACATCTGGAATCTATTCCAGCTGGAATGGCTTACCTTAAGCTGAGCTGTGGTGGCATCTACGCTGCAGGAGGGTGCAGCACACGCCCCGTTGGCTTGCCTTATTCCTCACAGAATGAGGAGTAATGGGTGCTGGCAAAGGCTGTCCCTCAATGTTTGATTTTTGGGTCTATACTAGACCCACTAAATCCAATGCTAGAAGATTGACCTCCAGAGGGTTGATTTCTGTAGTGTAGACAAGCCCTAAGGTGTCTCAGGACTTCTAATTGTTTTTTAATTGTTCTGAGGCCTTTTTCACAGACAGATATGTTGTAACAGTCATGTTTCTTTCACTAGACAATGTTTTAAAGATGCCAAGGGGCTTATCTTATTGTAGTCACTAACCAGATTGCTATCTTCAGAGGAAAAGGCACTCTGAACTGCATGATCAAGACATCCAGGCATCAGCTTTTTAAGACTTCTGTTCTACAAGTCTTCTTTTTTGCAATTCCCTCCCCTCCCATCCTCTACTTAGAGTAGCAAATTTCAGGTAAATGAAAACCTATTACCAAGTGCTGTACTCATCTAATTTTTTTAACCCAAGAAATGCACTGAATTTAAAAACAGATACCTTTAAGTACTTACAAGCATAGTTTTCTCCAGATTACACAAAAATTTTCACTTCTCTCAATGTCAGAATAAGCCCTTTTACATAAATACTCGATAAACAATCTACATTACCCTTTGACTTACATCAGTCCTTATACTTCTATCTTTCTTCCCTTCTGGGAAGCTTTGCAAACTGAGACCAGTTCTCACCTTGTTAATATTTACACAAAATTAGTATGTTTTCAGGATCTTTTCATATGAATATTCACAAGTTGTTATTTTTATTTGATTGTGGTTTTTTTTCCTCCCAGATTAGTTTCAGAAACACCCTTTTGCCTGGCTCTCATTCCTTAAGTTTTGCTGGGTTGGCTGTGGATCAGAGATTTTCTCTGGTCTGGTCCTGGCAGTGAGATCTGTTCCTGAATCCTCAAAATATTGGTCTGACTTGTCAATTCTGTTTCATCTGATGTTGGTTGATTCCTTTTCACATGTCCTAATAATTCCACAAGCATTACATCTAGTTTGCCTCTTCATATCTGGCTGTACTATGGAAGCATTGGACATCCAATTCCATCAGAGGGTTTCTTCTTCAGCTAAAGTTGTCTCTCAAATCTCATCCAAAAGAAATGATGCTTTCAAAGGCAGGCACATGTAGACTATTGTTCCCATATACAGGTTGAACTTCTCTTGTACAGTACTCCCTGGTCTGGCAACATCCAGGATCGGACATAATTTTAGTTAGCCAGATTTCCATTTATCATGGGTGTGGCCAAGTTTCCTGTGGTGCTATAAAGTTTGTGTACAGCCACCAGACCTGATTGTCAGACTTCTGTGCTGTTATTTAGCTCTAATTTACCCCTAAATGTATTCTAAGAGCCCAGTAAGCAGTGGAAGTGTTGATAATTCTACTAGACAATACTGACCTCCCATGATTAGTGCCAAACCAGAGAATTTGTCTAGTCAGGTTCCAAGGGTGCCAGACTAGAGAGGTTCAACTTGTATATCATCAAAGTCAGGAGTCCCCAGCTGACCCCAGGCTCCATGGCTGCCCCTTTAAAATCCATCTCTGGTGTTTCAAAGAGGCAGCTGCCATGGAGACTGAGGTCAGCTGGGGACTGTCCAGCTGATCCTGTGCTCTGTGTGGCAACAGAACGCATGGTCAGCTAATCCTGGGCTTCCCATGGCAGCAGAACCCGGGGTCAGCTGAGGACTCCCCAGCTGACCTTGGGTTTTGGGGAAATGCCGCACAGAGCCTGGGATCAGCTGTGAAGTATCCAGCTGACCCCGGGCTCCAGGGCTGACCCCTTTCAAACACACACGGAGGCGGCATTTCTAAGGGGCAGCGGCCGCACAGCTGATCCCCGGCTCAGCTGTGAGGCGGCTGCTCCTTTGAAATGCTACCTCTGTGCGTTTCAAAGGGGCAGTGGAACCCGGGGTCAGCTGGGAAGTTCTCAGCTGATCCCGAGCTCCGTGTTGTGCTGCCCATTTGAAGTGCTGTAGCAGGACTTCAAAGGGGCAGCACAGCATTAATGCCTGCGATTAACGCATTAAAAAAATTAACACATTAATCCTGGACTGCATTAATCACAGGCGTTAACGCATGTCAACTTACAGCCCTAATTATTAAAAGCTAAGACACTATAGAGATAATAAGAACTCATAATTAATTGGAAAAAAAAAACCCCTGGGGTATGGGACATTTATTGGGCGTAACATTTAGCTGGTCAGTAACTCACAAATTCCCCAGGAAAAAGCTCCAACTTTGGCTCTACTATTAGGGATATATATATAGTCATGAGCCTGTTTTTCAGATGTCCTATAACCTACAATTCCAAAATTAATTGGAGATGCAGGTTAATGGAAGATACTTGAGAATCTGTGAAAAATCAGGGTAAATATTTTAATGATGTTCACCAGAAGGACATGTTTTGTATGAAAGAATGAGTGTCTTCAAGATAGCTAGGCTGAGAAAAGCTCTCTAATGAAAAAGTCTGGTTCTTTACAAGGGTAGCAACCCTAAGAATGGATTAAGGATAAACATTGCCTGGTTTTACCAAATACATGTTGCCCTCCATTGACAGATTTTTCTTTCAGCCTCTCCTTCCTAAGAGAAACTAATCCCTAATCTATTGGTTCTTTGCATGGATTCTGTACATCCAATTCACTGCATTTTCATGCATCAACAATTGAACTTCACTTGGGCATTTTCCCTCTCATTCTTTTTGTATTACACTTATATTCTTCATGATGCATCTCTCATCTTCTTTTCTCTTCTCTCCTTCAGCTAGGGCACCAATAGTAATGAGTCTCTTAATAGTTTGTTCAAATGGCTGAATCATTATATAGTTTTAAAATGCACCTTCTAGCCAAAATATAGGGAGCACATCAAGCTGCCTCAACCAGGAGTTCCATTACTGTATCACACTTACGTGGAATCTGAGATTTTTGGGGAAGTTATCATAACAATTATGGTGCTATCAAATGAAATAATGACAGCAATCATATGCATCCACACCCATTTCCATGCTGAAATATTTCCTTAAAACATGCTTTAAAAAACAAATGGAAAAAATGCAAATACTTCAGTTTAACCAAAACAAAACAGAACACAAACTAGTACTCCATAGCATTATAAACTGGGTCTGTATTTGAGATATAGACACACATCAAACTTCACTGAGGAAATTCAGGGTAAGTTATGGACAAAGTCTTCTGTCCCCTATCTTCTGTACCTGAGCAGAGTTCTCCATCAGTTATGTTGCACCATTAACTGGCTGCATTAAGGACTGTTCTAAGACAGACACTTGGCAGCAGAAGTCAAACTACAGCACACTGTCTCATTATGAGCCTGAGCCGAAGTACACTGAAGTCTAAGACTTTGGCTGCACTACCTCAGGAAATACATCTACGTTACACTACTTCAATTACACGAATAATGTAAGTGGGGTTGATATAGCTAGATCCATGGTTCCTACACCACACTGTGTCAATGAGAGATGCTCTCCTGCTGACAGACCTTACTCTTCTGAAGGAGCTGGAGTACAGTACATGGAAAAGTATCCTGCATTGACTCAGCGGGTCTTCACCAGACCTGCTAAAAGACATTACTGCATCAACTGCAGCAATGCGGATCTAGCCATAAGTATAAACAAGACCAAAGAAAGTCATTCCATTGACATCCATAGGAGTTGGATCTGGCCCAAACTATGGCTATAATAAAAAAAAAAAAATCAATTAGGTCAGAGTTTTTCAAACTATGGTTTGTGAATCACTACTGATCCATAGAGAGATGGCTGGTCACATGGTCCTGGCTCTTCCTCTTTGTTTCTAGCTACAAGATTTCATTAAGAGAGACCTAAAAATATGTGGCTTTTATCACATCACTTCTCTAGGCCACAATTGCTTTAGCTGTCTCACAAATGGTAAGTGATCATGAAAAAAAAAAAAAAAAAAAGAGAGAAAGTGGTCTATGTCCTTATGAGTGAGATGGAAGTGGTCCCATGAGACACTTTCTTAAGAAGTGGCCCAATCAGTAAGTTCAAAACACTCTGAACTAGATCAGTGTAGAAGTGAATCTGCTCAGACAATTTCATTGTCTGCAAACATTACTAGCCTCCAAATAGCTTTTTAGCTCAGCATAGAAACCAAATTATATTGTTAAAGTCAAGACATGCACACTTATTAGTTTGTTATGTTAAGTGACAGTTTTAGGACTTAATTAGTAAATGCAAACACCAGCAACTAACAGACAGGAGGTTGATTTCCATGGTAGCAGTAAAACCTGCACAACATACCCCCTTAGCCATTGCCCTCAGCCCTTCCCCCCGCCCAGGGAGGTAGAGCTGTTGGCTGAAGATTTCTTCAGTTCTATTTTCATAGACTGAGTCTCGGCACGAGGCTCGAATTTTGTCACATTTCCTGCTCCTGGGGCTGCCACTACTGGCTTTCCTGCTTTCATACCTTTTGACACAGGAATACGGGTGGGTGTAGGTCTCTGTGATGACCCATCCTGTCCTGTCTGCAAGAGAAATAATGAGATAGTATAGAATGTTAAGCAAGACTTTTAGGAGTTTTTCTTTAACAGATATTAAATCTATACAGTTCCTTATTTGTTTCTTCTATTATTTAAAATATGTCTTAAAGCTTCCAGTGCACTAGCCACCTCTCCCAGGATTTAGAAACAACATAAGCAAACAACTAGCCATAAATATATCCATCCCAGCCCAGGCCCCTCTTTATCAAAAAGGGAGAGAAAAGATGGACTTTGCAGCATGCTAAGAAGGTTAACAAATCTGGGCTCTTGTGTACCAATGGTGAGGAGCAAATTCAAAAATAAAGGACCCTTCTGAGTCTGTTTACATTGCCAGTTTTTTTGGCAGAAAATATGCTAATGAGGAACTCATTAGCATAAGTCACGATGTCATTAACATATTTTCCGCCATTCCTTTTTGCGCAGAAAGAAGCAGTGTGGACTTTTTTGTGTGTGCAAAAACCCTGTTTTGCACAAAATCCTTATGCCTGTCCCAGAGAGGCATAAGGATCTTGCGCAAAACGGGGCTTTTGAACAAAAAAACCCACGTCCATATCGCTTCTTTTTGGGCAAAAGCCTCTTGAGCAAAAAGAAACGGCAGAAAATATGCTAATGATATTGTGACTTATGCTAATGAGCAGGGCTCGACAAATCACTGAATCTACTTACCCGTGGCGAGTAGATTTCAGCCGGTCGCCCCATTCACCGGCAACGCGTGTATGCGCATGCGCAGTGCAGTGCGGGGCTAGCGCATGCGCAGTGCGGGGCTAGCGAGTAGGTTTCGCTGCCATTTGTCAAGCCCTGCTGAGTCCCTCATTAGCATATTTTCTGCTGGGGGGGGGGCGCAAATGGCAGTGTAGACAACGCCTCAGAGAATGCTCTGACATGCAACTCCCTTTCACTTATATTTGAAGAATCCTAGCCTGAGTGCCTTGGCTATTCAACAGAGGCAGAAAAATCAGAGAGAGAGAGAGAGAGAGAGAATCGGTCAGGCAATTTGGGCACCTACATTATTGAATTGGTATTCAACTCTGGAATCAGCTCCTTCGGTATCAGATTGTTTGTCTCCTTTGCAGCGTATTTAAATATTAAGTGACATGAAGTAAAGCACCAACAGCTAAGACGACACTTCAAACCAAAACAGTTGTTGCACAATGGTGAATATCATACTAGAAAAGGACCCACGATGCAGAGGTCAGATCCAGATCTTAGTTTTCTGGTATTCAAATTAGAACATCATTAGAGATGGGGCGAAGCCCATAGCTCTGAACCATACTGTCGTAAAGTTTGAAGCTGTTTAGATACAGGGAACTTAGCCTAATCTTTAATTTTTTAGAAATGAGAGGAGAAGAGGCAAAAAGGGAGAAAGTCTCCACTCCCTGACCTACGTTAATATAGATAAGATGTGCACCTATAGAGGAAGACATAGACTAACAGGGCTTTTCTACTTCCTGTTCATATGAAAGGCCAACTTATTCTGCAGCAAAAAAATCTGGAAGCTGTTTTGTGACATAGATCTTTAGGCCAGAATCTAACAATCATTTAGAGAAAACGTGTATAACCTTCATGATTGAGAACACAATATAATGCAACTGAAAACTGATACAGTGTTGCACATGTATTGCACTATTCATCTTAGTGGGTTATCAAATCTGAAACTTAAGTAATAAAATTAATTACTTCCCTATTGAGCATTTTAAACAAATAAAATAAAAATCAGTTAATGTCCTCACCCAAACACCACCTCAAATTCCAGAAGTCCCAGCTATCCTCAAACTAGAGACTAAAAGTTCCCTGGCAATTTCTACATAAGCTTCAGAGGGGTAGCCAAGTTAGTCTGCAACAGGAAAACCTTAAACAACAAATAGTCTAGTAGCACCTTAGGGTACGTCTAAAGTACATGGCTCCGTCGACGGAGCCATGTAGGAGCATCCAGACTAGTGCGCTGAGTGGACAAACAGCTGATGAGCTGTTTGTCGGCTCAGCGTGCTAGTCTGGACGCTCCCCTGCCGACATCAAAGCCCTTTGTCGGCAGCCTCGTTATTCCTCGTGGGATGAGGTTTACCGGGGCTGCCGACAAAGGGCTTTGATGTCAGCAGGGGAGCGTCCAGACTAGCGCGCTGAGCGGACAAACAGCTGATCAGCTCTTTGTCGGCTCAGCGCGGCAGCCATGTAAATTTAAATGAAGCCGCGATCATTTAAATCGCGGCTTCATTTGACTTTGCCTATGTGTCTAATCTACATGCCTCTGACGACAGAGGCATGTAGTCTAGACACAGCCCCAAAGACTAACAAAACTTGTTAATTAAAAACTATGTAAAATTTCTATATAGTAACTTTGCAGTATGAAGACCAAATATGCAGCACATTGAAAACAAATGAGAAAACAATCTAAATTAAATCAGCAAAATGAATAGTGTTGGGGGGCATTTTGCTAATTGCATACTACAAACCTTACTTTAAAATAATCAAATGAATCTGTTACAGAATCTATCCCCTGCTGTACCAGACTGCAATAGAATCTAGGGCCCTTACCACAAAACTTAGTTTCAAGTTGCCATAAAGTATACAGGGTCCTCTTTATATGCACTGAGCATTCCAAAAGGAGGCGAACTACCTCCATCCTTACCAGTCAATCAACGCTCTCCATTTCTTAATGTGCCAAGAACAGTCCAAACTAGATGCACATATACACAAAATAAAAGTCACAATTGGGAAATTTGAATGCTGACTGGCCAGTGGGAAGCTAGTCATTTTCAACAACCAAAAGCAGCATTTCTAACAACACTTACAGGATCTTACTTCTTTTGTCAAAACAAGTAAGATCCATTGAACACTGTATGGCATAACATGCAAACACATTCTATCAGAGCTGGAAAATATGTCAACATACTATGGAGCCAAAATGACAAACATCCTGCACTCCCTGGAAGCTTTCACCAGTGTGTAAACATACAGCTATTAAATGAAGTAGCTGGAGTCTCCGGCATTTCTTGAGTTTTAATGACACAAATTATTAACTGAAGATTTTGGCACTCTAGAGTTACTAGTTTCATGCCTAAAACACTCAAAAATCATTTAAACATACTTTCTCTCTTTCCCCCTGCCCTACAGTTTCCAAAGACATACCCTACAGTTTCCAAAGACATAAAATAACATTTCACTCATATCATAACTGACACCATTCCAACACACAACTCCAACACATTTTTCTCTTGCTAAGTGAAAGGAAAACTAGCTCTATGCAGGTGACCAATATGACTGAATAAACACACAGACTGTGTTTTGAACTCCCCCTAAGCCAATGCTGGTTTTAGGAATGGGCAAGCAGGGTAGTTGCCTTAGGTGCCAACTTCCAACGGGTGCTGTACCCCATACCACTTTGTGTGTGGGGACGTATCTTTCCTCTTTTTTCTGATTAGCCAGTTATAGTGTTTTGGGGGTTCATCAGCTTGAGGGGAGCAGCAAAACATTTTTGGTGGCTCGGAAAATGGCTACAGCTACTCCTGCCCTCACAGTGTCAGGCCCTACAGTGCTGTCACTCTGTCATTTTGCAGGATTCGGAGTGAGGATGTCTCCCTTCTGTCCTGCACATTTGCAGGTGACTACATTCTTTCTGCTTGATGCAAATATACAGCATCAGTTAGAATTTGGATCTGTATACTTTTATGAAGTTCATGCAGGGCACCTATATTGCTGCCTCATTAAGACTTGCAGAGTGAAGCTCAACTGTTCTAATTTCCAGAAGTACACACTAGTGGAACATTATAGGTAATCAGAACTAAATGTTAATGCAGGAGTAAACGCCTGCAACTGCCAAAGCTATTTATGTCCATAATGGCAGTTCACCGCAGAACATGCAGACAAATATACTAGTCAAAGGGTTGTAATGAGGAAGGTTGGTTGTTTACAAAGCACAGCAATGATTTCGACTTTTTGAAAGGTTAGCATATGCTTAAGCAGTTTGTAACACAAATCCACTGAGTGTATTTTAATAATATTGGAGGATAGCTATCCCACTTACAACACTATATCTCTTCTAATATTTTTAAATAGGAGAATGGCACAGTAATACAGAGGAACACGAACAGCCGTAACACAATAGAGAATTGAGTCCCAGGCTTGTAAAAATGTTACAGAAGGTATGTGGAACACACTGATATGAGGAAATTACAGGACTCTTAATCATAGATGTTGGTGGCTTGCATGAGTTAGCCAACCATATCAGCACCCCCAACATGATGTCTGTAATTTCCTTCAAGTTGAGTTTGCTAGAGGCACTTTATTATATTTTTGGAAAATAAAATATGACAGACTAAAAGGGATGTAAATAAAAACAAAAGATAACACTCTATGTCCTAAATGACCCAGATGTGAAATTACAACCACTATTTTGGAATCATTGTGTAGGGAGGTTTCATCAGTTCAGGCAGGACTTTTAAAAATTACATACTTAGCACTATAGAAATAACCTCCTCATACAACTAGTGGCTCTTCAGAATGTTTTCTGTCCCCTCCCCCCACTTCCCGTTCTATTTTAAACAGTTAAGAAAAAGTTAAAGTTAAAAATGGCAAATCTGTTGTAAAACAGATAAGAGCCAGGAATTTCAGAATTACATCACACTCTGTTCTTTATTCACCCCACGGGGTATTGTATGGCTACAGATACTGTATCAATTAATTGAGATAGCACAATGAACTAAGTTATGAACTAACACCTACAGAAAATAGAAGCAGGGTTTCTCTCTACAGGCAGTCCCCGGGTTACGTACAAGATAGGGACTGTAGGTTTGTTCTTAAGTTGAATCTGTATGTATGTCGGAACTGGCGTCCAGATTCAGCTGCTGCTGAAACTGACCGCCAGTTCTGACTTACATACAGATTCAACTTAAGAACACACA